CTGTGTGTGTAGAACAGACTGAGGTGCGGATGATCTTCACGAACAAGAGGCTGGACAATGACTCCGCTCCACTGTCTTCATATGGAATTAAGCACTTGTCTGCCATCCAGCTGGTTATGATGCTTCCTGGAGGACTGGCTGATTAGAGAGACATCATCTCAGCTTCTACTGCTTCATGCCAGGACTCGTATCAAGAGTCTTGACACCTTTCAAAGATTTTTACTGCAATATTTAGGCCAACACCTTGTTGATATTAAAGATGTTTGAAAAATAAAATGTTATGGAAGCTACAACAAACGTTTTCTGTGTTCATTTGTGTATAAAGCAGGACTGCAGCTCCATGGCAGTAACCCATAGTTGTAGAGTAACAGTTCTCTAATGTATTGTGTATTAGTAATGTCAGTTTGCTCCTTTTTTAACTTTAATAGGTATGTTTTGCTGCCAACATTTTTGCATGTCTACTGAAGATCTTGAACGCTGACTGACTGCTTGTAATTAGTATGTTACACAGTGATACTTGAGTATCTGAATCCTTTTATCCACTGGTAAACACAACACTGTCTGCAGTGTCACCTTAACTGCAGATCTATTTATTTTGTTTTAGAAATTACATGACGTGTGGCAGGTCTGCATTTTTATTTTTAATTCATGCTTAACCCGTGTTTATTGCCTTATTGTGTCAGTAATGGCCCATATTGTTATTATTCGGAATTTTTTGATAAAACCAGAGCAATTTATAAATTGGCCCGTGTTTTATCATATTATAAATACTGTAAATATACCAGTCAGATACCTTCAGTGGAATTGATAAATAGTTTTATGTCCGTTTTAATACAACAAACAGGGTTTGAAACTGTTATGGTTTAGTCCCCCTCACCAGGAGGGTGAGGGAGAACTGGGGTTGGACTCAAGATGGCTGACCCAGGTGTTAGTGTAGCGGAGTTATAATATTACGCGGTTAAAACAAAACATCTGTCATGTACTGTGGGTACAAACTAAGTACACGTACATGTCACAACGCTCCGGCGACGACGGGGCGTCTGCCAGAGGTATAAATAAGGAAGCCCACAAATCACCGGAATACGCCTCAGGTGTGCGCACCGACCCACGAGTCACTAATTACCCGATGCGACACAGCTGAGGCGTTGATCCCGCAAAAAGGGAGAGCAGGAGAGGAAAAGAAAGAGAGGCAGGGCGGGCCGAGCGGACCTGACAGAAACAACTGGTAAACAAACCCTGCTCTCCTCACATGAAAATATCAGGTTATTTACTGACAACATTTGTCAGAATGGCTACAGTTTACAAATCAAGCGCATAATGCTTGATTACAGCAGCACACATTAATACATGGGAAGCATTATTTCCTTCCTAACCTAATTTACTACACACGTCAACAGTAAATGTTTTTATATAATGGGCTGTCTGGGGCCAAATATAATTCATCACATTAGAGAATTACTGTTTATTTAAACGTCTGTGATAAAAGAAGAACATGTAATCTGAAACTTTGCTGATTTTTATGTGTATCTGCTTGAAATGATTCCACAATGGCACATAACGTTTTATCACCCATTTAAATATTTTGCATCTGGATGCACAGAAATTGCTCATCTAGCAACGTTTGTTACTGGTTCTGTACATAGGCTGTAATACATGCTCATTCATTTTGACTGACACTACAACATGAAGCATTTTGCTGAGTGTCTTTGAAATAAGTGCAGGTTTGAATGTGTAACCAGTTGTTGGTGTTCAATGAGCCCAATCGTTCTGCATTTTTTAAAATCTAACTCGATCTAGTTATGAGTTCTGCCATTATCATGATGGATCCGGTAGCAGACAAGATGACAGGCCAGTATTTCTCATTCCCCGTCAGTCATGTGCACTGTGCTCCTAACAAATAAGAATTATTTGCATTGACGCAGCTTTCTAGTAGGCGTGGTGGCAAGTGAAACCAAAAGTATTCTGAAGTTTGTACAGCAGGTACGTGTGTGCATTTACAATTAACAACGAGAAGCAGAAGTGTGAATCTCAATGAGTTCTTATTTTTCTGTCCTCAGTCTGCTTTCAGGTTACGTCCTTTGCTGTTGATATATGTCAGATTGATATTGTGGGCAATCAGAACAGTCCTGCTATGACTCCTCCAGGTAAGAGCCGTCTTTTATTCACAGCTGTGTTTTCGTGCAGTTATGAAATTAGGTGCATTATTTCCTTCCAACAGTCCTCAGCTACTATGGTTTGCAGAACCAAGGAGCAACATGTTATTTAAACAGTGTGCTGCAGATACTGTTCATGACCAAGGAGTTCAGAGAGACCATGAAAAGGTTTGTTAAAGTAAAAACCTCCATATAATGTTTGTCTTTATTTGTGTAAATTTATGCTATCACTCATGGCCAATATGTGTTTATTTTGTATAGACTCACTCTTCAAAATCCTGACACTCAGTGTCTTGATCACCATCTTACAAACTTGTTTAAAGACTTAGAGAAACACACAGCAGGCACCAAAGACATCACAAAGGAGCTGGGCATCAAGAACGGTACAGTATATGTTAGCTAGCAGACTTACATGAATAGGCCTAAATGCTAGGAGACCAGACATATTGTGTATATACAGTGCCTTGCGAAAGTATTCGGCCCCCTTGAACTTTGCGACCTTTTGCCACATTTCAGGGATCTGTGTGGATTGTATCACATTTCGCTTTTTTCTCTGCTTCCTTGTCTTGTTCCACTGCAAACAAAAGAAATATGGGGGAGGCTGTGGCTTAGGAGGTAGAG